TTTCATGTCAGGTAACCTTCCTCTTCGTTCCATGCATCGAGCACAACTACTTTTCCATTACCTCCTGGAAGTCTACCCTCGGCTTTAAAGAACCCTGAACACAATCGACATGCCCGATCCAATGCGGTTCATGTCGGGGAACAGTTGAAGGGCTTCCTACACTTTAGAAATGACCAACTAATTCGTTTTCAATCAATTCGTCACCGCCCCTTATGCGTTTGTAAGTTCATTCCGACACAAACCTTGGAAAATCTTCATATTCATGATTCCATTTATGCTTACTTTGATACAATTGGTTGGACATTATTTTCATAGATTAATGTGGAACATTTTATGAACTTATTTTTGAGTTTTATACTACGTTTACATTTTTGCAATATCGATTTATTTCTGTTGTGTTTCCTGATGTCGTTTCATTTCATTTATGTGATCATTACTTTCATATGCCTATTTCTGATTTTATTATTGTTATGTGATTCGAGTCTAGATTATCTAACCGCTTCGACTGAGTTGCCACAACATTTCGACACAAATTCGACTTATGCTGCTCTCACCGGCTTAGTTGATCATCCCTTTGTTCCATACACGACCAAGGCAATTCACATTCATGACCCAACGTTACAATATATACACCGGTTCTTAGCCTAAAGTTATTCAGGTCAAAATGATTCTTTTAGCGATTTGAGTTAGACCAAACTTTTCTTTCTTTGGTGTATGCTCATCGATCGAAAGGTATATTTAGGTTTTTGGTTCACCCATGACTTCAAGATCATCATTCGATCTAATCGCCTACTTATTCTTGGACTTTACATTATTAATCTTGCCACTCGTATTGCCAATTTTGATATAATGAATTGCACTTACGCATTTTCTATAGATGCCCTAGATGAGTGTTGCTTGGATTCGATGAGTTTGCTTTCCGAAACTACTATAGCACCTTACTTCGTTCCACCGGGAGTGATGATGCCACACACTGAACGAGTTTTTACCCAACGAAATGTTCCTTTACAACAACAACAAGCCCCGTGTCCGGATGTGCAAGTACAAATGCACGATGTCAATGATCGCATCCACTCAATCGAGGTGAACATCACCGAGATCTTATCCTACCTCTGCCCTAGCCGTGTCAACGGTCACCATTGAACATGAGGTGTATTCTCTATCCTTTTTCTTGCACTTTCAATTTTACTTCCGTATTGAGGCAATACGACTTAAGTGTGTGGGTAGAGATTTCATTACATTTCACCTTACTTGTCTTGTGATTCGATTGATTGTATGCATTGGTTGAATTGGTTTTAATTTGATTGAAATTTTCCACCTTCGTTGAGTATTTTTAGTATATTATGCTTGTCTAAGATCATGATATTATTTAAATATGAATATTCATGATAATGGAAATTGCATGAGTAGAAATTTAAGTTGACATTATTGTGACCATCCTTGATTTTGTTGATTGAAATTCTCCTAACTCTATGTATGAACCCAATTTGGTAAGTTTTGAGCCTTGATGAGCATGTTCTTTAGTTTTATTCTCTAATTCTTGATTGAGTGTATCGAACTAAACATTAAAGATCTAGAACTTGTAGTACGATGCATGTTGAGATTACAAAATAATTTGATTCTTTGAAGTGATTTGGGAACTTAGGATTCACCCAATTTTTACCCAAGATGTCTTCCCTTTTCTTTCCCAATAGTTAACCATGTTTGAGCCTATCCCTTTTCTTTGCTTTCACAATCTTAAAGTCGAACCTTTTTCTTTTTTCCTCTCTTCCACCCTTGTTAAGACAAAGAGAAAGAGATCAATGTCGTATGATTATTTTCCACAAAAAAAAAAAAATAAAAGAGAAAAAAGTAGAGAAAAAATCGAAAAAAAGAAAAGAAAAGAAAAAATGGTTTGTTAGATGTTTTGATGCAAATATTTTGTTGTTCCATTTATTTTGCTTGTCTTATAGACTTGATTTAATAATTTGAAGAACTTTCTGCCTTGATTCTTAACCTCATCTCTAGCCTTTTTTCCCACCTTTAGCTAAATCCCATTACAACCCTTTTTCAAGACCCAACGATTTTTGCATCTTGTTCTTATCAAGTAGTGGACATTTGATTGTATTGCAAGCTTATGAAAATGTTATTTTTTAGTTCCAGCCTTGTGTGTTTTTGCACCCAAAGTACTTTGAGTGAATTGAGTGAACCTTTGTCAGGAATTGAGTTATGTTGAATTGAGATTGATGAATGATTGGAAGTTATGATTTTTATTTGACTTGATCCTACTTATGTTTATTTGAATTGATTGATGTCTTGATTCGAGTAGTTATTGTGAACTTGGCTTACATAATTTATTTTAGTGAGAAGAAGTGGAAGAAAGGATATTGAATTTTGACTAATTTGATCAAAGCATGTTTGAGGACAAGCATGAGACAAGTGGGGGAATTTGATGAGCGTTCTATACTGTCACTTTTTACTTGTTAGTTGTTCCATTTTATGAATTTATTATTGTTGATTTGGGTTGTGTTTCAATTATTTTCGTGATGTGATCTATCCCAGATTTGGTAGTAAAAGGGTGTTGTTCTCATTTTTTTATTATCCGATCATAGTTGGAGACATGGGCACGACGCTGGGTACAACACGGTCTGACGTGATAGTTTCTATAAGGTCTAGTTAGCATTGGGAAGATTTTGGAAGCAACATAGTCATCACAATTCAAGGAGATATTTTAGGAAATTAGTTTTTATATTTGAATTTAAAATTTGGAATTATCTTTAAGATTTTTAACATTTCAATTTGTTAGCTATTTTAGGGGTTTGTAAACCTATAAATACCCTCCTTAGGGATGGCTTATAACAACTTATCATTATCTTGAATTTTCCTTTGTTATTTTGTTTTTACTTTTATAAAAGTTGCCATTTTCTTTTTCATTTTCGCTTTCCTTTACTTTAGTTTTTACTGCATTTATAAAATATGCTAAGCATGGTTTCTATCATGCTTAGCTAATTTTCTTATTAGCCGAGAGTTAGTGATGACTCAATTCCAAATGTGAGAATTGAAAAGCACTTAACACCCTACGAGTAACCTTCTTTATTTTTTGAAAAATTAGATTGGTAATCGGTCTTTCATTTAAAAATAAAAATAATTTCATTACAAAAAGTCAACGATAGTCTGGATATTGTTATGATTTATAGTTGGGAGGAAGGATCGACCTATAGAATATTCGACTTCCTGTGAACACACTTAGCGTCGATCCACTAGGAGAAATCAAGATCGAATTTGATTCTCGTTGAGAACATAATCTGAGTCGTGTTTTTCCATAATCTGATTGGTTCTAGCGGTGATAGTCGTAGTTAGTCCATTCAAGGACCGAAATTCGGATGTAGATTTAGGAAGATCGGTTACCAAAAAGAAAAGCAAGTTATAAGGGGTTGGGTCTTGTAGACTACAACTGGCATGAATCCCGGAGTAAAATCCATTTAGATGATCAAGGCAAATTAAATTAAAGCAAAGCTAGAGGACATTTTCTATTAATTGGTTTTTCTAAGCTTTTATTTTTTTCCTTTCTCTTTTCATTATTTTATTTTTATTCTCATTCTATCAAATCTCCTCCCGTTTTTATCTACCTTCAGTTACAGTTACCTGGATTAAAATAAGTGTAATTCAACATCAGGAATTTCTAAGTCCCTACGGATTGACCCTTTTCTTCTCTATACTACTCTTATTCCTATTCATTTTTATTTGAGAAAAGGAATTTATTTAACGAGTAAAATGACTCTTGTCAAGACACCTCTATTGCACTTCCATAATGGAAAGGTCGTCTCTTTAGCTAAGAGCATTGAGCTACCTCCACTATATCTCAAAGAGAAAAATATGTTCACTTTATTCGTTGTCCACTAACAATATTTACATGCCTCTATCCCAAAAATCATCGAAATACCTCCTTCATGAGTAGAATTGTCTTAACACCAACCTTATGTCTTGTGCAATTTTTTAAAGGGTTAGGTTACATCTGCTTTAGCAATAGAAGTTTTTTCATTGTGCTTTAACGAGGATCAAGATGTCTTTATCTTAGCAAGAGGAATACCACACCATCGCTTCTACTAAGGTGAAGATTGTTTAGTCACACTTGCAGAATTATTCTTGGAGTGTAGATATGCCTTCTCTTACATGCAGTGTGCTTATCATAGATCGAGTTTTCTCCTCTAAATCGCTCGAAGACATTGAGATGAATCATCTCCTCTTGAACTAAAGGAATCGTTCCTAACACTAGTAAAAAAATATGAGATGCTTTCATCCTTGAAATAGGATTTTCTCCATTTTGATTTACAGAGCATAAAGACGACCCTCTCCTCTTGAACTAAAGGAACCCTTCTTAACACTAGTAAAAAAAATATATGAGATGCTTTCATCCTAGCAATAGGAATATTTCCATTTTTTTGATTTACAAAGCGTAGAGATGCCTCCACCCAAAAGTGTTGAGATGCTTCCTTATGACTCGTGATTTTATATCGAGAAAAATGTGTCTTACACTTTAGTTTTCATAGTTAAATGGATCCTTCAAAGAGTTTTGAGATGCATTCGCTCAACAATAGAAATGTCTCTATTACTTTTATGAATGTAAAAATGTCTTTGCCTTAATAAGAGGAGAAAATAACCTCTCATTGTTATTACTTAAGCAAAAAAAAACTTCTACCCACTAACTAGACTCCTCTAAGGGTGTGGAGTTGCCTTTTTCAATGGTCTGAGGCATGGAGATGTCTATGTTCACGTGTTAACCACAAAAATGATATTGTAACATTATCGTCTATAACTAGAGTAGATATGATCTCATTATGGTTGAAGAGACTTGTCCTTGGCCTTTAAGAATGTGGAAATAACTCCTCAAAGGCGTGGAGAACCATTCATATGGAAATGAACACATTTCCATATATTTAGGAGATAAATTTGAAAAATTTAAATCTCCTACTTATTTTTATAGAGAATAAATAAATGATACGTTTAAGCTACGAACTTGAAACAATTTATAAAGACGTCGAGTCCCTCCACCATACATTATCGATTCATACGTCTTTCCTAATGCATAAAGAATCCTCCATAGATGAGCTTCAATGGGGTAGCAGTTAGGATCTTGAGAGAGGCTAACTCGTTAAAGAGGTTCAAGGTCGTGGTCGTAAACTTCACGGGTAGCATCTCATTTGGGAGTTTTCTTCTCTTTATGCTCTTATTTCTTTATTTTCTCCATGGTTCGTACTTAAGGATGATGAATGATGAACTTAGCCCTACCATGAACTAATTTATTTGATGTGGGTTTGATTTGGATGAATTTTATTTTGTGTTAATGAATGGTTAAGGTATTTCTATGTTAAATGTTGTTTTGCTCATTGTTTATATTTTAAATGCTTAGTCTTGTAGAAGCTTTTGAGAGATTGTCATTTTCTAAGTATAGATGCCTAATATCAAGAGTTAGGCTAGATCTGCGTGAGTGATGGAACTAAATTGGGATGGTTAGTTTATAGTCTGCCTTAGAGATAAGGAAAGGGTTTCATTCAACTAAAAGGGATTAAAAGTATTCGATAAGCTAGTGCTCTAGCACATGCTGAGAGGTATTGCCGTAACATTAGTTTTATCAGGTTCCTTACTAAAGATAACCTAGGAGTACTTTTAGTAAATCTTGTTAGGTAACATAGGCATAAAATACTTAGAACATTCTATGAATAAAATAAACTTTTGGCATGGAAAACCCAGCCAATTACCCCTATATAAGCTTGATTTTGTGAGCTTGTCAAGTCTTATTTCATTCTCCGAAGTTGAAATTTAAATTCTTGCTACAACATTATTTTCTATTAGTTCTACACTTCCCTTAAATTTTTGCCTCAGCAATATTTTACTGTTCACCTTATCACTTTACTAAAACTTTCGCCACAAATATATATTTTCAATTGTTTATACCATTTTTGCCACAACCAAACTTTATTCATTTGCTTATATCATACACACACACAAACACACACACACATAGATATACTTAGTGATACCCTTTTTGTTATAACATCTTTTAAAATCCCTCCAATCCCTATGGAAATGATACTCACTCACTACAATATTCCTTGATCTAATGTGTATACTTGTACACATTTTGCGTTGAAGTTATAAAACTCACAACACCTATCACTCAATGATATTAAACAAAGCGCATTGTGGGAGGTAACCCATTTTTCATTTAGTTTCTTTAACTTTCTTGAATTTTTATTCTTTGATTTTAATGAGTGTTTTGGGTACGTTAATTTTTATTTTAAAACTAAGTTGAAAGCGATGATTTTAGTTGAACCATGCCATTTTTTGAACCCCTCCAGTAGCAACAGCGTGCATAGAATCCCCAAGTAAAGAAGTACGTCATTTTATTAAAAGGCACATGTTAGCAAGTCACTCTAAGACGCAACACAAGTTAGCAAAACCAATACCAAATTTTCTCCAAATTTGATCGACCATACCTTTTTATCTTACCCTCCTTTTTTAACATACTCCCTTATCCCCAAACTTTAACTGACCAATCCCCTCTCTTGTTTCAAATTTTGAAATAATTTCCATTTTATCACAATTACCAAACCCATGTCTCTATTAAAAACAATTTATTTTTCATTTTGTTTTTACCCTAGTCGCCAACTTCTTTCTTTCTTCTTTCACACTTCTTTTGGTTTCTTCCCTCGACACACACATCATCAACAATTGTTAGCGCCACCGTCTCTTTGCCGCCAAACCACCACTGCTCCTCTCGCCATGATGATTCCAATAAGAAACCAATCCAACAATGATACGATCATTCCACCTATGGTAATCGATGGTCGATACTGATTCATCACCCCAACGTTCGTAGAGCTGCCCAGTGATTTTGGTCCTACTCTGCCGCCTTCCCCTTGTCATGGTCGGTGTCGGCAGTAAGTAAAAATGCCCCAACCTACTGTACCCGAACCATTCTAGCCCCTGCCTATATCCTCTACTTCTATTGGTTGGTGTTTGTGGTGATATGCAAACGCCGAACCAAGCAATGCTCGCTATCCATCACCCCCACGGTCACCGACTCTAACATTTCAATCCATACCGATCGTGGCATCGTACTCATCTTTTCGGCCAAGGAACTCGATAGTGCTATCCAGGGAATCAAAAAGCGGAGCGTAACCGCAATAGCGGTCGTTATTTCGCGGTAGCGCCACCGTCCGAAACTGATAATCAGAAAAATTACAGTGGGTGGCAGAATCACAACAATAACAGTCTTTCGCGGCCGTAATTTAGCGTCTAACGGCAAATAAAGTCGATAACGGGACGATATTCCTGTTATCCACAAGTTTTCGCGTAAAAGAAACCCACTGCCATAGCTTGCTCTCATCATCAAAATAGAGCAAATATTAAAGAGAGAGAAAAGCAAGCAACGCCAGAGAAAGTGAGTAAGCCTCTTACCAATGGTTGAGAGCTGGTCGATAAGCAAATAGGTCTTCGTTTTTATGCTCATTCATCTTCTTCTTCACTTGCTGAAAATGGTATGTATTGTCACTTTCCTCCACTTTTTGAAGCTCTAATTTGCATTGTTTATGGATTATTCTTTATGGGTGTCTTGCTTTTGTTTGAGAATTACATGCTGCTTTTAGGACTTTCTAATTTTTCTTTTGTTTTGGTGCTCTCTGCATATGTTTGCTAATGAGGATTGTTGGAGTGTTGTCGTGGAGAAGAAGACAAAGGCTTAGTCTAAGTCAAAGTAAGGATTTGGGCTTGGGGTTCAATTTGGGTGAATATTTGGGTATTTAAATTTTTGGGTTGTTAAAGCAATGGACTGTTTATAATTTGGATTTGATGGTGTTTTTTGGTGTATAGATCTTGGATTTTAAATTAGATTAAGAATTCAATTAAAAAATGTGGTAAACTTGTTACCGTTTATAAGTTAGAAGCATATGTTGTTACATTAAAATATATGATGGAAAAATGGGTCATCAAGTATAATTATTATATTTTAGGATAAATTGCGCGAATTTTAAAAAAATTCACGACCGCGACACCCGCAGTGACCGCGATTGCATCCGTTATGTCCGCAACAACGATAAACGCGACGCGACCGAAAACGTGACCACGAACGCTATTTAAATCCCTGGTGCTATCCTTTTTGATGCATTCCGTGGAGTCAAAAAATAATCAAAAGGTAACTTCTGAACCAATTTTAATCAAGCATTTACTAATGTACTATTCATGTTTTGGTTTTACAGAAGATTTTGATATTGATTTTTTCCCAAGAGAACCCGATGAGGATCCAACTCCTTAATTTCATGTCAGGTAACCTTCCTCTTCGTTCCATGCATCGAGCACAAATACTTTTCCATTACCTCCTAGAAGTCTACCAATCGACATGCCCGATCCAATGCGGTTCATGTCGGGGAACAGTTGAAGGGCTTCCTACAAATTAGAAATGACCAACTAATTCGTTTTCAATCAATTCGTCACCGCCCCTTCTGCGTTTGTAAGTTCATTCCGACAAAAACCTTGGAAAATCTTCATATTCATGATTCCATTTATGCTTACTTTGATACAATTGGTTGGACATTATTTTCATAGATTAAATGTGGAACATTTTATGAACTTATTTTTGAGTTTTATTCTACGTTCACATTTTTGCAATATCGATTTATTTCTGTCGCGTTTCCTGATGTCGTTTCATTTCATTTATGTGATCATTACTTTCATATGCCTATTTCTGAATTTATTATTATTATGTGATTCGTGACGGATGTCACGAGTCTAGATTATCTAACCGCTTTGACTGAGTTGCCACAACATTTCGACACAAATTCGACTTATGTTGCTCTCACCGGCTTAGTTGATCATCCCTTTGATCCATACACGACCAAGGCAATTCACATTCATGACCCAACGTTACAATATATACACCGGTTCTTAGCCTAAAGTTATTCAGGTCAAAATGATTCTTTTAACGGTTTGAGTAAGACCAAACTTTTCTTTCTTTGGTGTATGCTCACTGATCGAAAGGTAAATTTAGGTTTTTGGTTCACCCATGACTTCAAGATCATCATTCGATCTTATCGCCTACTTATTCTTGGTCTTTACATTACTAATCTTGCCACTCGTATTGCCAATTTTGATATAATGAATTGCACTTACGTATTTTCTATAGATGCCCTAGATGAGTGTTGCTTGGATTCGATGAGTTTGCTTTTCGAAACTACTATAGTACCTTACTTCGTTCCACCGGGAGTGATGATGCCACACACCGAATGAATTTTTACCTGGCGAAATGCTCCTTTACAACAGCAACAAGCCCCCTGTCCGGATGTACAAGTACAAATGCACGATGTCAATGATCGCATCCACTCCATCGAGGCAAACATCATCGAGATCTTATCCTACCTCTGCCCTAGCCGTGTCAACGGTCACCATTGAACATGAGGTGTATTCTCTATCCTTTTTCTTGCACTTTCAATTTTACTTCCGTATTTAGGCAATACGACTTAAGTTGGGTAGAGATTTCATTACATTTCACCTTACTTGTCTTGTGATTCGATTGATTGTATGCATTGGTTGAATTGGCTTTAATTTGATTGAAATTTTCCACATTCGTTGAGTATTTTTAGTATATTGCGCTTGTCTAAGATCATGATATTATTTGATTATGAATATTCATGATAATGAAAATTGCATGAGTAGAAATTTAAGTTGACATTATTGTGACCATCCTTGATTTTGTTGATTGAAATTCTCCTAACTCTATGTATGAACCCAATTTGGTAAGTTTTGATCCTTGATGATCATGTTCTTTAGTTTTATGCTCTTATTCTTGATTGAGTGTGTCGAACTAAACATTAAAGATCTAGAAATGATGCATGTTGAGATTACAAAATAATTTGATTCTTTTGTTGATTTTGTAGTACGATGCATGTTGAGATTACAAAATAATTTGATTCTTTGAAGTGATTTGGGCACTTAGGATTCACCCAATTTTTACCCAAAATGTCTTCCATTTTCTTTCCCAATAGTTAACCAGGTTTGAGCCTATCCCTTTTCTTTGCTTTCACAATCTTAAAGCTGAACCTTTTTCATTTTTCCTCTCTCCCATCCTTGTTAAGGCAAAGAGAAAGAGATAAATGTCGTATGGTTATGTTCCACAAAAGAAAAAATAAAAGAGAAAAAAGTAGAGAAAAAAATCGAAAAAAAGAAAAGAAGAAAAAAATGGTTTGTTAGCTGTTTTGATGCAAATATTTTGTTGTTCCATTTATTGTGCTTGTCTTATGGACTTGATTTCATCATTTGAAGAACTCTCTATCTTGATTCTTAACCTCATCTCTAGCCTTCTTTCCCACCTTTAGCTAGACCCCATTACAACCCTTTTTCAAGACCCAATGATTTTTGCATCTTGTTCTTATCAAGTAATGGAGATTTGATTGTATTGCAAGCTTATGGAAATGTTATGTTTAGTTCCAGACACAACTTGTGTGTTTTTGCACCCAAATTACTTTGATTGAATTAAGTGAACCTTTGTCAGGAATTGAGTTATGTTGAATTGAGATTGATGAATGATTGGAAGTTATGATTTTTATTTGACTTGATCCTGCTTATGTTTATTTCAATTGATTGATGTCTTGATTCGAGTAGTTATTGTGAACTTGGCTTACATAATTTATTTTAGCAAGACGAAGAGGAAGAAAGGGTATTGAATTTTGACTAATTTGATCAAAGCATGTTTGAGGACAAGCATGAGACAAGTGGGGGAATTTGATGAGCGTTCTATATTGTCACTTTACTTGTTAGTTTCCCATTTTATGAATTTATTACTGTTGATTTGAGTTGTGTTTCAATTATTTTCGTGCAGTGATCTATCCAGAATTGGTAGTAGAAGGGTGTTGTTCTAATTTTTTTTATTATCCGATCATGGTTAGAGACATGGGCACGACGTTGGGTACGAAGCAGTTTGACGTGGCAGTTTCTATTAGGTCTAGCTAGCATCCGAAAGATTTTGAAAGCAACCTAGTCATCACAATTCAAGGAGATATTTTAGGAAATTTTGTTTTTATGTTTGAATTTAAAATTTGGAATTATCTTTAAGATTTTTAGCATTTCAATTTGTGAACTATTTTAGGGGTTTACAAACCTATAAATACCCTCCTTAGGGGTGGCTTATAACAACTTATCTTGATTTTTCCTTTGTTACTTTGTTTTTACTTTTATAAAAGTTGCCATTTTCTTTTTCATTTTCGCTTTCCTTTACTTTAGTTTTTACTGGTTTTATAAAACATGCTAAGTAGGGGTACACAAAAAATCCGAATATCCGATTTTGCAAAAAAAATATCCGAAACCGGATTTGGGAAAAACCGGTTTTTTTTAACCGGATCGGATTTTTTTAAACCGGTTATTTTAACCGGTTTGGAGAAAAAAAACCTAGACCGGTTTTTTTACCGGATAAAAAACCGGTTTGAAAAAAACTGGTTTTTATCCGGAAAAAAAAACGGTATGGGTTTAAAAAACTAGCCGTTAATATAGTCGTTGGGGGGATTTTGTGACCGTTTTTGACCGTTTTTTTCTTTAAAAAATTACCATTTTACCACCCTAAACATATATAAATAGGTTGGGGATGTATTTGGTTGATTACAAATTTCTCAAATCTTATTACACAACACTTAAACATCTCTCAAATCTTATTTTTGTAATTTTTTGTTCATCATGAGTAACACGGCTGAATCTTCCGTCGGGGGAAACCTTGAAGTCGTGAGAGTGATCGAACACACTCGAAACAAAGACATTTGGGATCACTACGATTTATGTGAGATGTCAAATGGCTCGAGGAGGGCGAGTTGTAAACTTTGTCTAAAGTTTCTTGCATCGGAAGGAAACACAACGTTGAAGAACCATTTGACAAAATCATGCAAGGCACTTCGCTCAAGATCGGATCCTAGTCAATCGAATCTTACACCGCAAGGTGGTGTTTTTGTTTACGACAACGAAAAATTACGAGAAGCGTTTACAAAGTTCTTGATTACAAAAGCATTGCCGTTCGACCACTTTGATGATGAAGATTTCACGACAACAATTCAACAACTAATGCAACCACGTTATACTCAAGTAAGTCGTACTACCCTTAGAAGAGATGCTATAAAAATGTGGCGTACGGCAAGGGAAAAATGATTTTAGGATTCCAAGAACACCGTTATGGTGTGTCGCTTACATGTGACGTTTGGAGTTCCCCTCATAATACCGGAAATTCTTTTTTAGCCGTTACGTCACATTGGTTAGATCAAGATAATTGGCAAATGATGAAAAGAACAATCGCGTTTGAATTATTCGGTGAGCCGCATACCGGTGCTAATTTATTTACACTTTTAAAAAGGGTAATTTGTCTTTATAAATTAGAAAATAAAGTTTTTTCTATATCCTTTGATAATGCATCGAATAATACAAACGCGGTTCCAAGATTGAAAATATTACTTTCACCGATTTTAGACGTTGCGTTTTTTCATACCCGTTGCGTTGCACACATAATTAATTTATCCGTGCAAGCCGGTTTGGAGGTTATTGAGCCGATTAGATTAGAATTTAAAACAATGATAAAATCGGTTCTTTGTAACAACAACAAAAGACTAAATGATTATAAACGATTTTGTAAGTCCGTTAATAAAAAAGCTTTGGGTCCTAATTTGGATTATCCAACTCGTTGGAACTCAACTTGGATGATGATGCATACTGCCTTAAGGCAAAGGGAAACATTGCAAACATTTCACGATAGGCTTTTCGAGAGGGGTCATGTCCCAAACATTTATCCGGATTCGAGTTGGGAAACTATAGCCAAAATAACCGATTTGCTTGAGGTATTTAAAAATGCAACAACTTTTTTATCCGGTGTTTATTACCCTACTAGCCCGTTGGTTCTTAATCAAATATTTTTGTTGGCTACCCGACTAAATGACTTTGAATTTGAAACCGAAGTTTTTCAAGAAATTGGCTTTGCAATGAAGGAAAAACTTTTAAAATATTTTAAGGAGATTCCTCCCATTTTTACTTGTGCCGCCGCTTTAAACCCAACGTTAAATGTTGGTGGGGTTGAAACACTAATTGAACAAATTGCGTTTGCTTTTAATCTAACCGATGATGAACCCAACCTTGTCCAAAACCAAATAAATTTTTTTAACAAATGTTTTCGAGACATGTTTGCAATTTATTTAACTAAATACGGATCAAGTAGTGTAATACACGATCAAATGAGAATGAATGCGGAATCATCTAGTAGACGTCCAAGTAACATAAATTTGAATCTTTTTAACACTCTTGTAAATTCCCAATCCAAACGATCACGTACTACCACCCCAAGTAGCGAGTTGGGAAATTACATGTGATGCGATTTTCTATCAAAAATGACATTTGAAGAGTTTGAAAGTTTGGATATTTTGGCTTGGTGGAAAGAAAAGGAAGCACAATTTCCGATTCTAGCCGCCATGGCCCGTGATTTACTAACCGTCCAAGCTTCTACGGTAGCTTCGGAATCCGCTTTTTCTGTTAGTGGCTGGGTTATATCGCAACGGAGATCAAGACTAAGTCCCGAGTCGGTGGAAGTATGCATTTGTTTAAAGGATTATTTGGATGGAGCGGCTCGTAAGCAACATATCACCACCCTAGAAGATGCAATTGATGTCGATTTGGAAGCAAACTTACACATTGAAGAAGTCGAACTTGGAATATCCCCTCCAAACGAAGAAGGCGAAGATGATGAAAAAGAGATGGCAATGTAGTTTATTTTATAACTTTATTTCAATTATCGTAAACTTTGTTTCAATTATCGAACTTGAAGTTTTTAAGTATTTGAATTTATCGAACTTGGAAGTTTTTAAGTATTTGAATTTATCAAACTTGGAAGTATTTAAGTATTTCAATTATGTTGAGTTAATTAAGTATTTCAATTAAGTATTTGAATTTATCGAACTTGAGGTTTGATGCTTTCTCTTTGATTCTCTCTTGATTCTAGTTGCTTGATGTTTCTTGTCTTTGATCAATGGCTTCTAAGCTTGCTTAAATACACCTTGAATCACTTCTGAACGTTAGTGATAATTAATGAAGATAATATAGCCGTTTAAGTGTGAAAACATTTAATAAAAATGCTTGGAGCGTGGGGGAATCGGTACCCTCTCATAGGGAATCGGTTTCCTCTCATAGGGAATCGGTTCCCTAAGTGTAAAATTCAAATATTTCGATCGTTGAATAGGGGGGAATCGGTACCCCCTATTGGGGAATCGGTTCCCTCCGAGCATTCTGGAAATCTCGGAGCCAAACCATTCAGTGAGGAATCGGTACCCCCTTGGGGGGAATCGGTTCCCTATGAGCAATCTGGAATATTAAAATCGGTTTTTTTATAACCGGTTTTTAAAAAAAACCGTTTTTTTTGAAACCGAAACCGGTTACACCGGTTAGGATATCCGGCCCTCCAAACCGGTTAGAAACCGAACCGGTTATTTTATAAACCGGTTTTTTTTCTATGGGAAAAAATCGGATCGGATAAAAACCGATCCGGATCGGATTGAAATCCGACAAATGTGCACATCTAATGCTAAGCATGGTTTCTATCATGCTTAGCTAATTTTCTCATTATCCGAGAACTAGTGATGACTCAATTCCAAATGTGAGGATTGAAAAGCACTTAACACCCTACGAGTAACATTCTTGATTTTTTGAAAAATTAGATTGGTAATCAGTCTTTCATTTAAAAATAAAAACACTTTTATTACAAAAAGTCAACGCTGGTCTGGATGTTGTTCTGATTTATAGTTGGGAGGAAGGGTCGACCTATGGAATATTCGACTTCCTGTGAACACACTTAGCATCGATCCATTAAGGGAAATCGAGATTGAATTTGATTCTCGTTGAGAACATAATCTGAGTCATGTTTTTCCAAAACTTAATCTGATTTGTTCTAGCGGTGATAGTCGTAGTTAGTCCATTCAATGATTGAATTTCGGATGTTGATTTAGGAAGATCGGTTACCAAAAAGAAAAGCAAATTATAAGGGGTTGGGTCTTGTAGACTACAACTGGCATGAATCCCGGAGTAAAATCCATTTCGATGATCAAGGCAAATTGAATTAAAGCAAAGCTAGAGGACATTTTCTATTAATTGGTTTTTCTAAGCTTTTATTTTTTTTTACTTTCTATTTTCATTATTTTATTTTTCTTCTCATTCTATCAAATCTCCTCTCGTTTTTATCTACCTTCAGTTACAGTTACCTGGATTAAAATCAACGTAATTCAACATCAGGAATTTCTAAGTCCCTACGGATTGACCCTTTTCTTCTCTATACTACTCTTATTCCTATTCATTTTTATTTGAGAAAAGGAATTTATTTGACGAGTAAAACGACTCTTGTCAAGACACCTCTATTGCGCTTCCATAATGGGAAGGCTGTCACTTTAGCTAAGAGCATTGAGCTGCCTCCACTATATCTCAAAGAGAAAAATATGTTCACTTTATTCGTTGTCCGCTAACAATATTTACATGCCCCTATCCCAAAAATCACCGAAATACCTCCTTTGTGAGTAAAGTTGTCTTAACACCAACCTTATGTCTTATGCAATTTATTAAAGGGTTAGGTTACATCTGCTTTAGCAATAGAAGTTTTTTCATTGTGCTTTAACGAGCATCAAGATGTCTTTATCTTAGCAAGAGGAATGCCACACCATCGCTTCTACTAAGGTGAAGATTGTTTAGTCACACTTGCAGAATTATTCTAGGAGTGTAGATATGCCTTCTCTTACATGCAGTGTGCTTATCATAGATCGAGTTGTCTCCTCTAAATCGCTAGAAGGCATTGAGATGACTCCTCTCCTCTTGAACTAAAGGAATCGTTCCTAACACTAGTAAAAAAATATGAGATGCTTTCATCCTAGAAATAGGATTTTCTCCATTTTGATTTACAGAGCATAAAGACGACCCTATCCTCTTGAACTAAAGGAACCCTTCTTAACACTAGGAAAAAAATATATGAGATGCTTTCATCCTAGCAAT